CTATTCCAGCGGTATATGGCGTAAGTTACTAGGGTTATGTACTGCCCCTTCAAGAAAGAACTCGTGCCTTCAATGGCGATATTTTTGTTTATAGGAACAGACCCTGTCAGAGCTAATATCAAGACAGAGTCAATGATGATCAATGAAATAGTTGGAAACATTAGCACTTTAGCACCGATTTATTTTGGCAGTTCCGTATTGCCCACTAAATGTTATCAGTTTCAAGAGTGCATACCTTGCGAAGCTGTTGACAAAAAACATACCGCGGTATGTGTTTACATTAGAACGCCCAATTAATTTAGGGCACAAGGATAGACTTGCATCAAGAAAATACCAACATGAACCTTTAAACACCTAAAGTATGTTGAGGAGAGAGAAATGGTCGTTAATTGGCAATGTTTAACTATTCTAGTGTTTAAGTGGAGACATGGTTTACTTTCCAAGTGCGAAAAAAATAGTACACTTCACTCAGGATTAGATGCAAATTCCAAAAATTAGCTTTAATTACTGGAAATGATTGTGTATAGTCTAACACTTTAGAGATAATAGGATTCTGGAAGGTTTTTTTCGCGAAAGGTTATTCTGAAAGGTTAAAACAGATACACGATAAACTTTAACAGGCGCCTGTGTGGCGACAATAATCGTACCTACCGATTTCTTTCATTTCGCCGACATTCCCTGTGTGTGGCTCCATTCTTATACATTTATAAACTATGTATTCAGACCTTAACAATGCCGTTAATGTTTCCGATTTACGCCATGGGAATGAAATATACATCTTTTTTACAATCCAAAAGAACGGCTTCTTTAATGAAACTGACGAAAAAAATCATAATTTAAAATGAGGTACATAGAGGATAAAACCACATTACTCAACCGACAGGCAAAATCTGATTTCAAATAAGGCAAAAGAAAACCGTTTTGGAGAAGTTTATACATATCAGTGAAGTAAATCAAGATCTGGCCCTGTGCATACAACACTATTATCTGCACTATTGTAATTGGTGGAAGAGGTACAAGCCTTTCAAAGATTGAGGCTCATTTCCCGATTGACAAAAAGGTACCAGATAACCTAGAAGACATGTTTTTTCTAGGTTATGCATTTTCCTTCGAATTCAAACCAGGCAACGTATATCTGGCTAGACCAACAACAGGAGCAAAACAACCTTTGCTTATTTCATCACCTTGTTACCAGCAGCACTCTTCTAGGCTTTAACAGCAAATAAGATGGCATACCATAGCGCAGAAGATTACAAGGTGACGTGTACAATGCATGTTCGAATAAGAAAGTGATATTACCTAGACATGCTTTTACTTCATGTGCGTCTAGCTGTTCCGTTTACCATAACATAATTGTACGGTTCACTATATACAAAACTGTTCCAGGACAAAGGACAGAGACGTGTAGAAGATAAACACAAATGTCTGTACTTAAAACCCCGCAATGTGATGGGTGGTACCCAATGGTTAATGTTACCCGAGTAGAATTGGCACTGTCTCTATATTTAATACATTGTACAACCCTCTTTTGTAACCACTGCATTAAGGTTTGATATTATACCGACCTAAAGCTGTTTAGAGTGGACAATAAAGCTCAAGTACAGAACAACTAAGAAAGCAAAGAGCGGTGCATCAGTGAAGAGTAAGCTTAACCGTGACTCTAGGGAAAGAATGATACATGTCTAGCTTAACAAACAAACTATGTAATCTATGTAATTACCATTGTGCTTCACCAGGATACTAAATTCGTGTATATGTACTTAGAATAATAATCTGACAGAAACATATACAAACATTAAGAAATATTTCTCGATCCTTAAGATTCCAATTTCAGGTCATTAGCATCACTGACGAGTCATTGAGGGACATACCAATTGATGTTGTTTAATCCATTATTTGGCTATACACTTAACATTTTAAATATGTATTGAAAGGTAATATTCACGTGTATGTCCTTTGTACAATTTGTACAATCGAGGTGGCAGGTGGTATACGGAGAGCTGGTAAACGTTTAGTCACCGTGGTCTCCTTTAACCTTAACGTCTTGTTTTAATTAATTCAGCAACTTGATGTTCTTTTGAATTTATGAGATGCATTCCGAAAATTATTAAATTGTGGGGTTAGTGACCTGCCATTCTAGCTTTTGACATTACTTTCGATCATTTTTGGTTTTTCTTACCCGCCAATTACGTATCCAATATTAGGTCCTCCGATGCGTCCTAGAGGGACGAAACAGCTGTATGACTCCGTTTAATGCATATTTTGGGTCTATCAAATGTAATTCGTGTTCGTATTGAAAAGTGCTATTCACTTGTGTGTCTCTGGTACAATCATGCTGGGAGCCTCAAGATGTACTTGTATTTGTGGGATCTCTACAACAAGGTTACTGGCATTCCGTGACTGTTGTCAAGATAGCGTTGATACATTTTGAAACTACGTCCACTAGGAGAGAATGACGGGGTTGCGACGAATTTAAAGTTTCATTTCCTAACCACAACTTCAGAGTGCAACACGTTTCTGACACTAGCATTCCCTAAGCAAAACTTTGCGCCATTTGCGAATGCATTCCCTAAAGGTCGATTTTTTATACAGAAGGAAAGGTATTTCCTCCCAAATCCTTGCGTTGGTATATTCTGTCGCCCCCCGGAGTGTGGTAACTTTTGGTCTAATGTCACTTTTAGAACAAAGACGCCGGTTTCTGTTCCCTGCAGAACGACATAATTCGCCACAACCGACCGAAAGGTTAAATAAACATGTTCAGGCCGGAACAGGATGGAGACTACGGGGACGAAATGATTCGTTTAGCAGTTACACTAAAACACTATCTCGAAAAGGAAAGAAAATGTCAGTGTTTTCACTCCTACGACTGTTTTACGGACTTACATAAAACAACTTTGACCAAGTAACAACAACATGACTGAACAGAACAATTCTTTTTTTACATGTCTATGTTTAGAAGTTTGCTTTCGTGCTTTGCATCAATCGTGTGGGAAACGTATTAAGGTCAAACTATCTATTAAATTACTAACGTCAGTAACATAAATCTATCTTAACCATACTTAATTTCACTATACTCTATGTAACAATGTACAATATACAATATAATATAAAATGTACATCAATAGAACACTTCTTAAGTTTTTACATTAATAGTTAAACTAGCAACTATTACTTTTATCATTGCAGAGAGAATATTCGGAGCTATGTGATAAATTTACTATCATATAGGTACCCATTCTGTTTTATTTCAACAGTATCAATTATTTTATCTGAGTTCTTGAATTTTTCCGTTACGTCATAACAGGACCAAGCTGCTTCATAATAATCAATAATGAAATATGCACATATCTTAATATTTGATTAATTAATGCAGAAAATAAATCAATGTGTATATTTACATATCATTACGGTCTTTCGTTTGATGAATATTACATGTGTTTAAAGCATGTCAAATCAGACGGGTTCGTTTATAAATGCCTTACTATTGTATCACGACGTTACAATTTTAGTCCTAACGGATATTGTCTTAATATCGTGAAATCACTATTCAAGGTCGGCAATGGAAGTTTGATGACATTTAAAGCGATGAGTGTCATATTTTCTAGCTTAACACTTAGAGAAAATGCTTAACTTCATTGATAAAACTTACCATAAACATGTTATAATTCAGTATCCTATCCTGATTGTTTTAGATTGCTATGAAAAGAATAAGTATGTGCGATAAAGTGATGAAAAGACATTAGCTTTTGTGAGCATCTTCGTCTAATTAGTTTTCAAGTGTTTTCAAGGTTACAGAGTTTTTAATGAATTCGTCAAGTGTGTAAGAACAAAAAATGAATGGAAAGAATTCACATGTTACAGGACAATAAAGTCCGGGTTGTGGGCAAAGAGCAATTCTAGTTTGTTTTACAGAGATAGTACTTTTCACAACTATATCCTGACGCAATTAGCGAGGATATTGAACATACCCGTTACAATGTGTAAAGTGAACAAAAACATTACAATGTGTATAGTGAACATATACATTACAATGTATATAGTGAACATACTTGTTACAATGTGTATAGTAAACATAAACATTACAATGTGTATAGTGAACATATTCATTACAATGTGTATAGTGAACATATACATTACAACGTGTATAGTGAACATATACATTACAACGTGTATAGTGAACATATACATTACAATGTGTATAGTGAACATATTCATTACAATGTGTATAGTGAACATATACATTACAATGTGTATAGTGAACATATACATTACAACGTGTAAAGGGAACATATACATTACAATGTGTACAGTGAACATATACGTAACAATGTGTACAGTGAACATATCCATTGCCCAGTGTAAGGACTGTATAGGTTTTTTTGAGACCATAACAATATTTGGTCACCTGGTCATCTTTGCGACGTTATCGATCTCATTGTGACAACATTTATTGAATTGTCCCAAAGCATACCAAACGTATATATACGACACATAAACATAATAAATATATTGATAAATGTTTAATAATATTTTTGTTCTTTTTTTTTCTCGGCATCTACTGACAAATAAACAAAACCCAACCCAACATTTTGAAGGTTATCAGCAGTATCACTGTTTGTAACATAACGCCATTTAATTCTAATTTGTACTTACCGGAATCATTCGTGATAATGGACATGAAAAATATTTATTATTTGCAAAGAAATATATTTTGACTTCACCTGTAAATACCATGTTTTCATATGTGTGTCAATGTCCTTATATAACCTCTGAAATGCGTTGCTACAAATTACTAATCATATCAATATCATTTATTGGAAAAAAATAACCTTAATATGACGTTTTAAACAAACAGAAGTATTATTATTCACGTCAGCAATTAAGTTGAATGGAATCAACAGCTTGCGCATTCATTAAAATATTATTCACTCGTGTGTCTTTTGTACAATCTTTAGGAACTTTTTTATGAAAGAATTATTTTTTTCTCTCTGACGTTTCAGATTGTTTGAGACACATCCAGATGTACAAGACGTCTTCATGCCTTTCAAGGGACAATCAAAAGAGGATTTGAAACACAGTTCACAGCTCAAGGCGCATGCGCTGAGAGTAATGAACACGGTGGAGAAATGCCTCGGGCGGATGAATGAGCCTGCAAAGCTACAAGAAATGCTCCATGACCTTGGCACGCGCCACGTCATGTACAGTGCCAAGGTCGATTACATTGACGTGAGTAGCAGGGTGTCCTTAGACAATTATTACTATTAGCTGTTGCAACAGTAATATTTAAAGATCGATTTAAGAAATAATAATGATAATAAGATGTGTCGTTTGAAGTCCGATTTTGAATAATATTCATAAACTAAGATTAGACGTTTTGACGTGTTACGTGCATAAGTGAACAATTTATTTCCGAGAGACTGTGATTAAGATTCACTTTATAAAACTAGACTCGAAAACGTTGCCAAATAACATTCATTAGTATCAATTAAGATGAACGAAAAATGTTTTAAAAAAAAAATCACCGTCCTTTGTATATCGATTTTTCGCTTTAATTACTTTGAGCCGTAATGTACATATAGTTTAACAGTATACAGAGAGCAAGAAGGTGCATGCTAATTGTAACATTCAAACTTTGAAATTTATATTAATATTTACAACAACAGTTCATTTACAAATAGGAAAAAAAACAAGGCAACATATTGTATTGTATAAAACAATTACCTAGTGTTGGTAATTTGAAATGAATTATAGCTAGTGTAATTTCATGGTAAACTGGTATAGTTTTGAGAGGCAGAAATATCATTTTACGCCTCTATTGGTGGTTGTTTAGGTAACCTGTGTGGGTGATTCGTTGTTTACTTGTTCCATACAAACATCATACAATAATTTGATTTAAATATAGTCATAAACAAGGCAAAAATCCAATCGATTCCATTGTTTTCGACCCTGTAATTAAACATTGTGACCACATCACACGCCTTTATTGACCAGACAGGAAATACATTTCATAACAAAAACAGCAGTTACGTGGTTTCATTTCTGTAATAACAGAAACTCGATCTATCATACTTCTGTCCAGCTCTGTTTACGTTCGTTTCTCACGGTAAGTGCGGCAAAAATAGCTAACACTTAATTTAACCCGGAAATGCCTTTATGTGAACAATTTGCCCTTTCTTTCATCAAATATTCCAACTGCAATAAGGAACCAATGACCAGTTTATTAAATTCTTGGCTTAATATTTCAGGATAATAGAAAAGTATTCCGTCAACAGTTGCAATTATTCGTAAAAATGGAAATCAATTACGTCAAAAAAACTAGCTTCTCGTTGTGTGTAATATCGACCTGGTGGAGAAACATTAAGAAAAGTTCGATTAATCTTTTACGTAAACACATTTCTGTATCGCTTTGCTGACACAACTGACACAACCTTCCGAATTAATAATTAAAGTACGCATACTTTATAATGTTAGAGTGTTGATGGATGTGTATTTACATTCTTGCGACCAGCTATTTTGCATTTGTATTGCGTCTAGAAAGTTTTTTTGCTTCCTGAATGCAAAATCAACGAGAAATATATGATACCCCCGACCACCACCACCATCCCCCCACCCCCTCCCGACTAAAGTGGTCATTAAAATTCTGTTACGTCTGTTATCAAGAATTGAAAATGCTATCCGCCATTATGAGATGGCAGGGCTGTCTGGAACAATGATCTCTGTCAAACGACTACGGGACTTCGGTGGATTATGAAAAGGTTATAGGCCACTTGTCCTGTCTGTGACCTGGGGTTATATCTGAGGCGGACAAGGACCTCCTTCAGGCCACCTGTTTTTTGTCGTCGAGGCAACCAAACACAACCCTTACGGCATATCAATATCTCTAAAAGTCAAGGTCATATCTATTATGGAATCATGTTCGACTTTACAATATTCGATAGATCAAACCCAAATCTTTCGCTTGTCGTTGAATGGGTTTTTTCATGTTTATCATACATGCTGTATATGTTTAAAAGATTTCGGTCGATAAATATATATGGAATTAGACATTGGCAACAATTTTTTTTTTAAATCTACCAACATTCTGTAATACACAATTAGAAATAGGAATTGTTTTGAATTAAATCGATTTATTTTGTAACAAATCTGTAACAGATTTGAGACAGCTCTCTCGTAAACATTGCGAGAAAGCATAAGACAGACCTATTTGCTTTTGCTGTCGTTGCAAAGCAAAGACGCCGGTGTAGGACTATTATAGGTAAGGAAACACAGTAATAAGTAAAACCGAACGTGTTAGCTCTCTCGCATGGCTACATCAGTCGCTCCAACAGGTTTATGTGGCTGTGTACAGCACACAGCGGAAACTCTAATGAAAACGAGTGTGTTTAGACTTGGACCTCGTCGGTCCTTTATAGCCAATCTGAGCTGTAATTCCTGGCTTGTGTTGCTGGCCTGGGTCTGTCTGTCTGTCACTCTTGTGTCCCTATATGATGACCATACCATCAAACTACTGGTCCGACTAATGTGTTTGTAGGCAGGCGCAACGGACCGCACGGTTGCTTAACGTCAGCGCGCACGCCCAATGATATTGTTTTGTGTTTCTAACATGCTATTTTTACTATACTTTCCTAACGAAGCAGTCAAGCGGTAAATTAATCTGGTTGGGAGTAAGTCCTTTTTTTATTGATTCTCAGAAAAGATACATGTTTTTTTTTGTGTTCGTTTTGGTATAACCATGAATGGTATTTGCGAATGATTTCATACGTTAAAAGTAATAACCAATTTCATCATAAAGATGTATGGTAAAACTTCTTTAGCGGAGTTATGTAGTTCAGAGTGGGGTCATACTTTCATTATCTCAGCTTTGTCATGAATAGGTTTTTCAATACATCAGATAAAATGACAATAGGTGAGATGGTATTCAAATTAAACGCAACCTGTATCTCTAGGAAACAGAAGAACACGTAGTTTATATCCCCCCCCCCCCGCCAAATCTATGGGCTGTATATGGAAGTACATAATGATGTATAATGATCCATCTAGTTACATAAAAATGCATTATAATCAATGGAGTAATCCTTCTTTATTACAGCTGATTGGTCCCCAGTTCATCTGGGCTATCCAGAGTTCCGTCGGAGACCAATGGACGCCGGAAGTAGAACAGGCTTGGTCGGACCTCTTCAAGCTCATATCACATTACATGAAGGCAGCCATGGTATTTTGATGAACTTCTGTTAAAAAAGACGATATCAATTGGATCTCAACTATATTGTAGAACATTGTACCAAAATGTTCGTTCAATCGTTTAGCGGATTTCGCTACAGTAGCCAAATTATCGTTAAAGTACTTATGAATAGGTATCTTGTACTGTTAGATAGTTTACAAGGATTCTAGAAAATGTCGAGGATAAGTTAACACAGTCCGAAATATTTCAGAGTCTGGGTAAGTCTTTGACATCATGGCCATGTTTGCGCAACCTTTCGATTAGAAAGCGTAATATCAAATTCATTCATACCACACCACTATAGGACCTCGAACACGGGAAGTAAAGAAGGTACTTAGGAGTGAAGACCGCGGCTCGATCTACAGGAAGTTATTACCAATATCTCGATTTAAGAACAAAACCCACTGAACTCTGGAAAAATGTATTCCATGTGGGACAAATTTCCTTGCGGACTAAACAGCACTGCTGTTGTAAATAGAACAGTTAGAGTGGATTGTAACATGTTCATGCGATAACGGACCAACTATTAAAGGTTTCGGATGTCAGACTTCGAAATGTTTTTGTTTGATAACATTACTCTATCATTTCACAATAAATCAAATGTTATGTATTGTGTTAAACCAGGAATCAATGGAACATAAATAGAAATTTTCCACGTCACAAATCTGTTCCTTATGTGTGTATACTCCTTGTTTCTTCATACTTCATATACAGACATTTAACACAAATGGTGCCAACATTTAACACTATATGTAAGTGTACATGAATGTAAGGTTGTCTGATACTTTACTTGCCAAGTAAATCTCCACTTCAAAAGAGTTCAGCATAAAAAAAATAATTATCAGTTATTTACGCATATGCAAATCACTATATCATAAAATTGTTAAAAATAAATTGCAAAACCCACGCATCTTAATAATAAAGTTCATTATTTATTTCGTAATGAAACATGAATACTGATAAATGAATAAAATGAAAAATACCAACATATTACCCTAATCATAATCAAAACTCAAATTGAATAAGTCTAAAGCAAACTTTGAAAGAAATATTTACACCAGAGGCTTCTGAAAAGTAAGTACGAAGATAATAGGACCAGGTGTTGTAGATGAGTTAGCGTCTTCTGCTTTATCGACGACATCTGCCATGCAAAACCTGGTCAATCCAAGTAAGTTATGTCGCGTTCTCAAATGAGAACAAGGTCAACAACAACAACAACAACAACAACAACAACAACAACAACAACAACAACAACAACAACAACAACAACAACAACAACAACAACAACGAAACAATAGGCATTAAACACCGCCGGCTTCCATATATGTTGAATCTAAATAAAAAGTATCAGCTCAACCAGATTATGAGCAAAAAGGTATATGTTGATTATAAGAAATGCATTAACGCAATGCACATGCAGTTTACCGTGATCATAATAGTAAATATGAAGACGGTAATAAACTGTTCAATATTTATTTTTAGACTGGACAAAAGAAAAAAGAGGCAGTATCATCATAATTTGAATATGTCGCCTGTTGTTACGTACGGTGTGTGAAATTGTGTAGTTGTTATATTACTATCTAAAATTAATTTGAAATTTAAACTCAACATTCCATTTCTTTAATGTTACCTAGGTTGACTTGTTTGGTTTGTCTTCTTTGGTTTGTGTTTTTTTTTTCTTTTATAAACCTTTATACCGAAAGATGCCAACACTAAACATTTTTTTTTATATTCATTTGAAACGTAAAGTAAAGGAAAAGTTTGGAATCTGAGTGCTTAATCAAATTTCAATTAGAGATTGTCATGTGGCGCATCAGGAACGCAGTAGTCTTTGCCCTAGCCATACGTGGTTTGATTCTAAGAACGGACGTGAACAGGTACTTTGGGTCATCAGACCGAACCAGCTGACTTTTCTTGTATTCATCGGTTTTCTTCCACATCAAGATCGCTCACTAGCTTTCATCCGGGCAAAGAAAAGTGATTAAAAGCTTCATAACTGAAAACAAAAATTCACAATAAAAAGTCCTTAGAAATGGAGCATTTATTAGGAACGATAATGTTATGATGTGATAATTTCTGCTGACTTCCAACTTCTCAAGGTCTAGTGAAACAATTAGTAGGGATGTTAACAAATGCTGAGTCTCTACGAACGCATTGAACTCATAAGCTGTACCCATAAATCGCTTAAATATTTAATTTGGACATCAAGGGCAACCTTGTTCCAACCCACTTTGAAAAAAAATTCCAATCGCGTAAATTTTTGTCTTGTTCGTTGACAAGGCCAATTTTTGACGCGATTTGGAATAAAATAAAAATCCGTTGAGCTTGTCTAAACAGTAACGCTATTTGATTTTTTTCAAAGAGCGGTAGTTTTTCAAAGTAGGTTGTAACATAGCCTGTATCGGTAAAAGGCCAAAAGTACAAGAAGCTAAATAAGATGACATTTAAAACGTTATAATCTTTTAAAGTGATTCTTTTTTTTTTTTTTTTTTTTTTAAAAGTAACAGGTTTCATGTTCATGGTGTTTGACACTATCAACTACAGAAGTAAAGGACGTTGCCATTTCAATTCAAACATTCTCCATTTCCGCAAGCAATTTGCAATCTGCTTGCCTAGTCTCAATGGTGTTTGAAAAATATCTCTAAGTCAGACAAAACCTTGTCGTGATAGACTGTGATATATCAAACATGATTGTAATTAAGATTGGCCTGCCCTTGAAGGGTAGTCCGTTGCCATGTCGACTTCTGAGTACGTGTTTAGCTGATGGTTGTATTACAAGCCTTGTTCTGATATTAATGTCTAGTTCACGTCAGCTCTCACTACTAATCACACTTCAGCTCCATATGTTTTTGTGCTTGAAGAACTTTGTTGATTCAAGAAACAATCAATTATCATCTTTTTTAATTTCAAGTTGATCTTTTTTTATCGAAAACTATTCATCTATTTCCATCATCGCATTAAACGCATCTCCCGTTATCACCAATGCCTATTGATGCTTGTTGGATGTTAAAGTACTCTCGCTCTTGGTCTATAGTTGTCAATATTATTATTTTGCATGTTAAAGTAAAAAGGTGCAATATTTTCTACAGAGGACACTTCTTTCATTATTCGACTGATGTCCCGATTGTTTCTACCATTAAGCAGAACAATCGGACAGATGCACTCGCGACACAGAGAATAACAAATTCATTGATTTTGTCCAGTTCAAGTAAATCTTAATGTCCAAGCATACGTAGATGTGTGATACTGCATTTCTAGCAGTTTTAGCATACAAATTATTTGTGATTTTATTTGATAATCAAACTGACAGATCGAATGTAATATTAACGTCTATCCCATGATAGATATGAAAAACGTTTTTTTTTTCTCAACAACTCAAAATTTATGGCTTATAAACACTTTTCTTAAGGTGATGTAGACAATTGTTAAACCTTAAATTTCTCAAGCTTTCTGAAGCATTTTCAGTCAAGATTTGCATACTATTGGTGACATATTGACTTATGGTTGACTCGGAATGGGGATTAAGTCACAAAGAGACGTTTCAGTCATTTGTACAAGGCAGTAGTACAAACACAATGATGCAAACAAGAGGACGATATAATCATGCACTTTAAACATGTTAAGTAGGTTGAATTATAAATAGATCATTCCCCTTAAAGGTTAGACACTGCGTGCCAGCTGAATATATGCCATTATTAAATGTGGAAAGTGCACTCATAAACATTCAGAGGCAAGCGGGCGGGAACGGAAATAAAAGCGATGCTTATAACTTAAGGGGATGACCTCTGGATATATAAAAGGACAATGGCGAGGATTTGCAGTACTTATCTGTTATTTGGGAGAGAATAAAATAAGGCAATTAGGGAGAGGCCAGAAAAATTTTAATGAATTTAGCAAATCAGAAGCATTATATAGGAGCGTCGGAAAGACCCGTAGTGGGGGATTGATATTGCTAAACTATATCAAGATATATGATACAAATTTAAAGTACATATACACTTATACCTTGCTACTAGCTACCGAAGGGGCGTGGTTTGACGCTGCTTACTCTCGGTGATTAGCGTTTCCTGGAAAGCTTAGAGACGGACACGTCATTGTTGTCATGTTTGTGTCTTTGAACTAAATACTATTTGTCTCTGGAAGCATGCATTGGGACGCCCTCTTGTTGTTCTCTGTGGTAGCAACCAGATACCACAAAAAGAACGCACCCCTTCTTCTTCTTTTTCTTTTTGCATTATAAAACAATCTTGTCATTCAACAGAGAAAGCCAATGGAACTCAATGAATGCAAGTTTGTAAACTTTAAAAAAGCAAAACCTGATTATCTTACAAACAATTTGATATATTTTGACAATGGAAGAGTTCAATACAACGTTAAGTTCATGCGATATTGTAAGCTGTCACCACTGATAACTATACTTCTGACGTGAGATGCACAATGTAATTTTCAACATCGTAGACGAACAGTTTTACAAACACATTTCTCCTAATATTGCTCACACAACACGACAAAGGAAAATGTCAACAAATTTAACAGGTGTAGACTCGGTACATTAACCGCTAATAGGTTTTTCAGAGGTTCGTTCAAGTTTAACAATAAGCCAATAAAATTATTTCATTACACTTTTGACGTCGGATAATTGACCGAAATTTCTTTGCACTAAGCATTATACTCAAGATCTTTGTTTTATTAGTAGAAACTTAAGCTCACTTGACATTTACACTGAAACTCTGCAGACAACTATTGTCTATAACTTATCTTCCTTTAATGGAAAAGACCAAATTGAAAACAATGTGACCATATTCTCTATCCTTTACCGATGTTAAATCTTCCGGCAAATGAATGCCGCTTTTGAGATCTATTCGTTTTTTTTTTTTATTTGACCTGAAATATCTTGTCAGAATCTTGTATTCTGTAGCGTTATATAAAATATGAATTTGTTAATATTCTTTATTATTATTGGGTTGTAACTTTTTTCTAACATGTTAAATCATGATCAA